TATCTGTGTGTATCTGTGTGTATCGCGTCCTAAAAAAACCTGGTAATTTAGATTTCCATGGAAACACCTGGAAATGGATAACAATGACCAGATATTCTGGAAATAATCTCTGTAGAACCAGCACAGTGTTAAACACAGGATGAACTTTTTGGCATCGAGTCTATTTTTTCTTTCAGACAAAAGCTCAGTGGCAAAACGTCTTCTTGTTGTGGTTAATAAATACACCCAAATAAAGGTTAATTGTACATGAAAATAACATTTTCTACTTATTTTAATAGACCAAGAGGTGAGAAGACATTTTCTGTCATAAAATAACTTCTGCTTAGTTTGATCTTGTACGTATGTTACAAGTAAAACGCAGTCCGTTCACTGGGGAGTACACAGAGGAGAGTCTCAAACACTGACCACCTACTGTAATGAACCTCAGACAACCTGCACATTTAAAAAAGGAAGAATAAAACATGATTAAATTATATGTCCTGTATTGTCAGGAAAATGTCCTGGAGAATGATTTTTTTTTTTTACGGAGGTTGAACTCTGATGGAGTGTCTGCTGCTTTTATCCGGTGACGTCAGAGACTCTGTTCTGAATGTTTTATTCGCTGATGTTTGCTAATGAGAGAGCAGAGATAAAAGCTTCATTACCGTCAGAGTTTAGCTCATATTAGAGTCACTTACCTCTGCATGGTGCAGTGAAGTGCTGCCTTTTAAAGGGTTAGTGGTTAATGGAGGAGAATGTAATTGTTTTGTTCTATCATTAGGAATCACATGACCTGTTTGACTGCAGGGTTGGTTTAAGATATCGCCATTAAAGACACTTTAATGTGAACATGTTAATGTTTATTAAACCGTTTTAATTCATCCTGTCAGCCAAGGAGTTAAAGACTCAAAGCTCCTTCACAAACACGACTTAAGATGCCTCAACCTTTCACGGGGTCTTCGATTATCGCTCTCACTTCCTCTTACGGCAGTGAAGCGGCGTCACGCTGGATCTGTGTCACCGTCACAAGTCACAGCTGTTGCTCAATCTGAAGGGTCAGATGTTTGTCACATTTTCCATCCAGATGAGATTATGGATGGACAGGCTGTCAAATTAGAGCTGGACATTTGTCATCGTAGCACATGTGATCAGAAATAGTGCTGAGGCAGATTTATAAACTGGTTGATTGATCAGATAGCCAGAACGTAGCCAGTTTTAGCCTGATGGATTTGAGAACTGACTGCTGGTCCTCTGAGGTTTTTGTGTATTTCTGCCATTCAGGCGTCTTTTACACCAGAACAATGCAGATGTTGTTTGATAATGTTGTGAAATAGCATTGGATCATGGGAGTTGTGGTTTTCATTGTTGCTGATGAGAATTTAATAGACGTTGTTCACAGATGAGGTAACGTTTAGGTTTAGGTTACATTTAGTCACATTTCGCAGACTTCCTTCCTTCCTCACTCTGATGTGAACCAGGCTGTAAACGTGTTGATTTCTGCTGTAAAGTTGTGCATTTTAATCTGGGGCCTTATGGAGACTCACTGCTGGAGCCGGCTTCTAGTGGCCGTTAGAGGAACTGCAGGTTTTTACTTGGCTTCATTTGCAGCCACCGAGGTTGCTGATTGGTCGTTTGGAGACATTTCAACTTTCTCCACGATCTAAAAACCTAAAAATGAATCCACCATTGAGTTCTTCGACAGGCGTGACATCACATCTACAGAGTGTTTTAAAAACATCAGCTGTGTTTACTGCTAATTAGCTATTGTTAGCATGCTAAGATGGACAACATGATAAACATCAGTGTGTTAGCATTGCTAGCATGGAAGTAAACTGTTGACATTTTATAAACAAAGTAAACAAATTAAAATGATGGATTGTTTGAATGAATCATTCAGTCAGATTGTCTTTCATTCATTCATTCATTCATTCATCCGTTTCCTCTGAGTCAGTGCGTCGATCACTCAGTCGCTCACACTGAGCGGCAGCTGAAACGATGACATCATCCATCCACAGAGTGAAAGATGCAGCAGAGGAGAGGAGGGGAGGGGAGGGGAGGGGGGTGTTGCCTCGGTGATATCACTGCCATCGCAGGATTGGCTGGGGGCAACGGTGATGTCACACATCTCCAAGCTGCTCTCCTGAGCTTTGAACTGAGGCTCGGAGAGGGAGACAGACGGAGAGAAAGTTGCGTCGTTTTAAATCTTCAACAGTGAAGACGACTGCAGCTTTCGGATTAATGCCAAAAAAGAAGAACAGAAGTGGTGTTAGTTCCTCTGTGAGTCTCGGCTAAGGTGAAAATGTGAAAGATCAGCCTGCAGGTGCAGAGGGGGAGCGGTGAAAGAGGATATCCTGCAGATTTCAGTTATCAGTGCAGTGAAGTGCATCTTTAAATTACAAGTGACAACCTAAAAGACCGAACAGTGGAGCTCAGAGGGGAGAACGTAGTCCGGACCTGATTCCTGCCACATGACGTCAGTTTTTTTTCGAGGCAGGATCGGAGCGCTCGGCTGTAGGCAGGACATCATGAGATCCAGAAAATCCGTGTTTGGTTTCCCCTCTGAGACGTCGTGGAGGTGGGTGAAGGTTTAAAGGCCGACATGGAGCGAGAGGAGGGGGGCAGGGCCGAGGCCGAGCCGGTGAGAGGACGAGACAAGATCCTCTGCTACATTAACATGCAGAGTCCAGGTAGGAGCTCAGACCTGAACCTGGAGCTGTTCAGAGGGGGACCGACACCTGGTGGCAGTTTAACACGGCCGCTGTAGGAGTCCTGATTAAAATCCTAAAATGGGGTTATGATTTTATTTTCCATATTTTATAAACCCTGATAGAGATCTTTGCATTGAGCTGGGATAAAGATGTCTGTGAACAGAGAAGGGCGTTGTGGGTAAAAGTCGGTTGCAGAGGAATCGACTCTCGAACCAAATATCAGCAACACGTCATGCGGAGCTGCGCGTCAACGGAGCTGATTGGTTGATCCAAAGTCCTTTTTACATTTCAGCATCGTACACAGTAATCTTCTCTCAGAGCGGAGGAAACTACTTTCTCTTGATATCGTCGCCCCGTCCGTTTCCACGCAGTCGCTGTGGTTTGTTCACTCGAGTCACCGAACGGAAATCGATTTCTGTTCACTGATTTATTTTATTTTATTTTATTTTATTTTATTTTATTTTATTTTACATGGTGGCATGAACATGGAACTGATTCCTTGCAGGTGTGTATCACCTGAGTAAAAATGTCACCATATCAGAAATGTAGTCGTTGATACCAGTGCCACGATTCTCAATACCAGTTTGATACCACGGTAAAAATGTTTTTTTTGCCCCTGATCCCCATTTAATATCTGCTGA